CACACTCTCAGAGGAGTGGGGTCTACAGTCAGGTCATGACACACTCTGAGAGGAGTGGGGTCTACAGTCAGGTTATGTCTGAGAACATTCATGAGAGGCTTAGTGACAATCACAGACTTTATTTGGGAATCAAAAATATGTGGAAACTGAGGGACAAGCCTGACTGCATAGGGGTTGATGTCAAAAGTATCCCCTCTTCAGGAAAAAGACATCGGGATGGGTATGGCCCTCATGCCTCACTGGACAACAACAGGGGGACCAGAGCCTTTACAAGGTCCCCTTCAATTACTGGAGGTCAGGTCTCTATCCCCACCTTCACAAGTTTAGAATTGCCACAGCCCTTCTATACTTAGAGAAGGGAGATGTCAGGGGCAGCCCTGCTTATACACTGAAGGCCTAAAATCAGCCATAGGCCTAAAACCAGCAATAGGCCTGACATACATGTATACTAACACCAAGTCTTGGGTTTCTGTGGAAAAACATTGAAACAGATGGCTATAAGCTATTATAAACAGGCAGCTTTTGTGGAAATTTACCAGCCTGAGTAGTCATAGACCTTGTAAATAGGTAGCCTTGGTGGATAGTACCAAGTTAGATAAGGACAAGTGAATCATAGACAGAGTCATAGTGACCTATCCCCTGAACCTTCACCCAGCCTATATCATGTTCTGAAAGATGTCTGTATTCCCCCTGAACACCCACGCTCTGGTGTCATCCCCTTCCCCACATCCTGCCTTTTTGTGTTTGTAACCCCTGTGTGAACAAGTAAAACTTATGATTTGATTTAAAAAATTAAAAAAAAATTTAAAAAGTGGAAATATAAAAACTTCAACTTATTGTCACTTCAGCCTAATGAATTTTTAATAAGGGCTTGGTAAGGCAAATCCCTATTATGCTTTTATATTATAAGTAGTCTATGTAAAAGAAATGAAAGAATATATATCTTTCAAATAGATTTTTTTTTAACACTGAAAAATTTTAAAGTAGAGCCATTAACTGCTTCCTATACTAAATTTTGCAATAAGAAAGTTTGGTAATGTGTCTATCTAGTGTTTTTTAAAGATTTATTTATTTTTAGTTATGTGTAGTTTGTGTGCATGTGTGTATGTGTGTGTCTGTGTGTCTCTGTGTGAATGCAGGTACCCAAGGAAGTCAGATGCATGACATCTCTTTGGAGTTACAGGACTTGTGTGTGGGTACTGGAGTCAAACTTTGGTCTGTGCAAAAGCAGTATGTGCTCTTAATCATCACTGAGCTCTCTCTCCAGCCCCATATGTATCTACTTTGACAAAGCTATTCTGTTCATTGCTTGTAATGATGTTCCATGCATTTTCAGTAGGCAGTGGAGACTAGGCGTTAGGTGTCTGGAGCCTGAGTTCACCTCCGTCACTGAGTAGCCCCAGGACTCAGTCACTAAGCATCTCTGGTCCACATTAGGGTTGGACTACTATCTCTTGTCTTTCTAAGATGTAACTTTTATTGACCTATCTTATATGGGCAAATAACTACATTTAGTTTATTACAAGTATTAAAATTATATCTCCAGTAAATCTTAACAGCCATTCAAATGATCAGCCATACACAGGTGACTCTCAGAATGAAGTCACTGCCTGACAGGCTTTGCTCAGACATCATTGCCTCACTGTTCCACTGTGTAACCAGGTTGACCCCTAGACGTGTGATCTTCCTGCCTTAGCTCGTAAGGCTGGAATTCAAGGAGCAGCCTACCATGCCTCACAGGAAATCTTTTCTTTCCCAGTTCTAGAGTGGAAATTAGGCAATTTAGAACAAGCCACTGTTTGAAATGCTCAAGGTAGACTCAGTTCCTATGTTCATAAAGCAGACCTGTCAAATTCTGTGCTTGAAGGAATAGGCAATCAGAGCTGTAATCTTTTTTTTTTTTCTAATGTTTAGGCATTGGTTCCATACCTCCTTCGCTGGCCCAGCCAGAGGCAACCTGCAATGCGTCAGAAGTGGTGACATCAGGACAGAAGATTGCTGTTCCAGCAACATCGCACCACTTCTGCTTTTCAATAGACTTAAGAAGCATCCATGGCTTGGAAATTAGTTTTCCAGTCAATTGCATATTGAGGTATGGTGTGATTTTTGTTCTGGGAAAAATGCCCTTTTTTCCTGTATAGGGAGATTAGCTAAGAATATGTAGCTGCTGTGAAATCAGTAGCCTGAAAGGCTATCCCAGTGACTAAAAGGCAGTCAGCTATCCCAGTGACTAAAAGTCAACTATCCTAGTGACTAAATTTGAACCTGAGTGGCTCTGGGGATAGAAGACTAGGAAGCTTATCTATTCTGGTATAGTGGTTATTCACTGATGCTGCCATTTAAGGTGTAATGTTAAGATGTTTTAGTTGCTTGTTTTCCGGAAGAGAGGAACTACAGGTCAAAATCATGGTTTTGTATCTGATTTTTCTGTACCACTGTATTATAGTGGGTGCTATATTCCTAACACCTACATTTTATAGCTATGAGTATAAAAACCATGCTTAAAAATGAACTTGAAATTGCAATAGAAAGAATTACTGCATATAATCAGTTAAATGGCTTTCTACAACAACCTGCTTTAATACTGCATGTTTGTAGACACTGTAGACCGTGATAGAAGTTCAACATGCTGCAGTGCGTGACTGGAGACATTCCTGAATTTGGCTGCAGAAATCAATTTATACTTGAGCGTGAATTTTCATTTGATGCTCTCAAGTTGTTTGTACATGTCTCATACTTGGGTGTGAGTCACTCACAGAAGCAGAGACCTTGCACTGGGTATGGCCAGGAATTCATTGAGTGAAAGTCTTCCCATCTCTGCTCTGTTCTACAGTCAACATACAACATGCTTGTGGTTATTTCTAAGATGCTCCTCTTGAACCACTGGGAGAGAACATCTCAGGAATGCAGCTGTCCTCAGAGGGTTTGTTTCCTCTATACTTACAGGGTTCTCTTCTGTTTGTTTGTTTGTTTGTCTTTTTGCCCCTTTCACTGCATTAAGATCTTTGCTGCTATAGCAGAGTACGGTCTTAGTACACCCAGAGAGGAGCAAGAGCATGCAAATAGGTACATCTTCAGATTAGATGCCATGAGCGGGACCCTTAAACAGTCCCGTGTATGAAGTACTAATTCTAACTTTTCTGTTTTGTTTCTTGCTATCAGGACCATTTGTGTAATGGTTGAGAGCCCACATTATACCAATACTGACATTATACCAATTATATCTGGTATTAGAGTTAATAAGAGAAATGAACCAATCACTTTAGGAGGGTGACAGATTTAGAAATGAATCTATACATGAAGGACAATAGTAATTCACTTGGTTAAAAAAAGAAAGAAATAATATTCTAAGCAGGAAATACATGCTCGTGACTGATTTGTCACTTGACATGGAATTACCGAGGCTGGATTGGTGTTTGACTCATTGGAAGCCCTTTTTAGAGTACTGACCATTTGTTCAGTGTGACCGACTTTATAGCATTCTGCTCTACAGACACAGCTGTGTAATGACATGCGTGGGGTACGATGGGTATTTGAAAGTAAGTATAGCCTGCACGTCTGTTTGGATGTTTCTCTTTTAATTGCTAAATGCTGTAGTAGGATGGTAGGAGTTGAAATTGTCAGGCATGAACGTTGAGATAACTCGCTTCAGTGGGTGAGTAATTATATAGGATTGGAGTGATATACAGGATATATTTTTTTGTAGGAAGAACAATTTTATACTAGTTGAGTTTACGTTTGATTATAGTTTTATATATGAGTAACAAAATGCAAGATGAAATTTAAGCAAGTATTACAGTGTCTATAAATTTGTGTTTAAATTTGGCTTTCACTAAATTTATAAATTAAAATTTAAACTAAAAGCAGTTAGGCTTCTTACTTTTAATCTAGTGTGATTTTTATGATGAAAAGATGAAATTGTGTGTCATTCATTTGGTATATGTATAATATATTTGTATTGTTTTTATCTTTATTCTCTGTTCAAAGACAGAATACTATAATAACAATAATATAATAATACTTTGGCATTGCTTAAGGGCCATTTAGCCCATAAATATCAGACCATTATTGAAGGAAACTGTAGGTCTATAGTTTAATATATCAAGCATTTCTTGAATGCCTACTAGATCCAGAAATTGCTTGTTCCTGTATAGCCTTCTATACAAGTCAGAGTCCAGGATTTCTACTTTATCTTAAAAATTGTATATTCATAATTTGTTGTATGCTGTTTAAACTCATGAGACCTTTTGTGTCAGCTATGGAGTGTAACATAGACTTGTGGGTCCTGTGTTCCAGGTACTCCTACCCATTCTTCGGCAGTGCAGCTCCTATTATGACTAACCCTCCTGTAGAAGTTCGGAAAAATATGGAAGTTTTTCTTCCTCAGTCTTATTGTGCTTTTGACTTTGCAACTATGCCTCACCAGCTACAAGACACGTTCCTACGGTAACATATGAGATTCCTTTGCAGCATGGATTTATAATATATATTTATATATAGCCCCACAATAGCATCTGCACTCAAGAGTCAACAAATGAGTTTACTGATGTCAGTCCTGTCTGCTCTGTTGCAGAACTTACATGGTTTCTTGTCAGTCCCAGCGTAGGAATTAGAAACATGTTAAGGTGATCTCAGGAACAAGAAGGGAGGAAGACTATTTCATTTTGCTCATTGAGCCACCAAATGTATTATATTTTCTTCACTTCATTTTAATCTAGCTATGGAAAATAGATTTTTCAAGAAAAATTGGCCTGTGAAATCTGCTTTTCTAAGAGTATCATACCCCAAACTTACAAGTTCTTAAAAGAAGAATATAGGCTAGCTCAAGAGTCTGTAATAACTTGTAATAACTTGAAGATAAGTATTCAGAGTGTTCTCTTTACTGCTTAGAGATACAGAAGACAGATAGCCCTTCAGATGTGTTCCCTGGGGAGCTGAGCCTTTTTAACTGTTGTGTTAAATAACTTCCCAGGTAGCAAAATGTCTGTTGTTTGGAAAGGACTGCTTCAGGCTTGATAACTGTGGGCATGGTTTCTCTCCTTAGGATTCCACTGCTGGTAGAATTATGGCACAAGGATAAAATGAGTAAAGACTTACTCCTTGGGATCGCAAGAATTCAGCTTTCTAACATCTTGTCTTCAGAAAAGACCCGGTTTTTAGGTGCTAATGGTGAACAGTGTTGGCGGCAGACTTACAGTGAGAGCGTGCCTATTATAGCAGCCCAGGGGTAAGGCTTGCATAGCAGTGCTCCTCTTCCCCTTCATCCCTGTGAGGAGTCTCACTACAATGCCACAACCTCAGTTCTTCATGTTTTCTTGCTGGCGGATTTTCTTTGACCTGGGGGTGGGTTTATTATCATTTCTTTATTAGGTTTTTGATATCTATTGACTAAGAAAAGTATAAAAATTTTTGTGGCTACCATATCACGATTCTTGTTCAGACCGCTAAGTATTTAAGTATCCTTTCCACCCTTACCTGGTAATTGTAAATTTTATTATTTATTTATTTATTTATTTATTTACATTTTGTGAGGGGGGGAGGACGAAATTGTGTGTGTGTGTGTGTGTGTGCGCGTGTGTGTGTATAGAGGTCAGAGGACAACTCTTGCAAAGTTGATTCTCTCCTGCCACCTGTGGGACATAGGAATTGGACTCAGGTTGTCAGGCCTGTGTATAAATGCCCCTTTGAACCATCTCACTGCCCCTTGGCTGGCATGTTTTTTTAAATTTGTGTGTGAATCTGATTATATATGTATGTGTACCACATGTGACAATCAAATTCTTTGGATCTGGAGTTTCAGGCCCTTGTGAGCTACCTGATCTGGGTGCTGGGAACCAAACAGGTTTTATAAGAGATGCAGGTTCTCTTGACAACTGAACCATTTCTCCAGCCCCTTAGTTTGATGATTTTATAATTAAGGAGCTGGTGTTTGTTGTTTTGTTTTATTGGTAGCCCTGGGGGTTCTTATCCACTTTCACAATAACGTCTTCAAGTAAAATGAAGTTCCCGGCCAGCAAGATGGCTCTGTTGGTAAAGCCACTTGCTACCGAGCCTGAAGATCCCAGAGATTAGAAGAAAGTCAACTGTGTCTCTGTGTACACTGGGCAGTGCTCTGCTGAAGAGCTCTAGCCCAAACTTTAGGATCTGCTGTTTGATTGTATTAAGTTAAGCTTATGTATTTTGTGTTATTTTTCATTAGGAATGATATGATTTCTTTTACCACTTAAAAAATATTTTAAAATTTGTTTGAAATTTAAAGAATGAGAATATTATAAATGCTAGCCTTCAGTGGCAGTTTTGAAATTATGTTATTAGTAGCTTGGGATATAGCAGTGGTAAAACACTTGTCTAGCATGCACAATCGCTAGGTTCAGTCACCAGCACTTACAAAAGAGTAATGCCCTGGTTAGGTTTTGTCAGCTTAACATAACCTAAAGTCAGCTGGGAAGAAGCACTCTGAAATGAAGTATCGCATGATCAGATAAGTCTTTCGGCATGTCTATGTGGCATTGTCATAACTGCTGACTGATGTAAGAGGACTCAGCCCACTGTGGGTAGTACCATCCCTAGGCTGATGGGTCTAGAGTATATAAAAAGGCTGGTTAGCATGAGCCAGAAAGATCCAATCCAATAAGTAGCATTGTTCTATGGTATTTTCTTCTGTTTCTGCTTGAGTTCCTGCCCTGGTTTATCTGTCAGACAAATAAAAGCTGACCTCTCAAGTTGCTTTGGGTCATTGTTTTATCATAGAAGTAAAAAGTAAACTAGAATAAGTAATACTGTTTCTTTTACTTGAACTTTATTGCTACAGTGAAAATGTTTACCTTTTTTAAATTAACAATAAAACATTAGGTTCAAATTAATATTATAGACCATTTATTCTTTAAAAAAAAAAACTAGTGAGGATATAGAAAAATAAGATTCAGCAAAAATCAGAGATCTAAAAGTACCACTGAAAATGTCCTCCTTCCATCCATCCATCCATCCATCCATCCATCCAGAGTCACATCCAGAGGCTGGAAGGTTTGGGAAACCTTTCTTCCTTTGTGGATGTGGAGCAGTGCCTGGAGAGAGGCAGTTGTTTGGGTAGCAGAGAGCTCACTTTACTTTCATTCTTGTTCTGGAAAAAAAAAAAACTTTTAAAGCTTGGCATTGTTTTCTGTTGTCACCAGTAGACTATATGATTACATGTTAGTGACTGTATTAGCCGTCATGAGCAGTTGAAGCTGTCTCAGTGCTTCTATACTTACCTTCATTGCTCCGCTTTGTAGACAGAAGGCTAGATTTACCTAAATGAGAACTGTGAGATGTGCTCAACGGCTTTTCTTTAACATAGTAGCGCTTCATCTAGAGTATCTCCCCTTAGTTTTATGGGTGCTGTGGCACACACATGGAGGTCAGAAGACTGCGCTGTGGAGTTGACTTTCTTCTAATCTCTGGGATCTTCAGGCTCGGTATCAAGTGGCTTTACCAACAGAGCCATCTTGCTGGCCGGGAACTTCATTTTACTTAAAGACGTTATTGTGAAAGTGGAAGAAAAACAGTGTGGGCTTGGTTAATTAAGGAGCTGTTAGTAATGTAAGATCTGTGTATTTAAGTTGTGTTTTAAAGGGTTGTTGGGGCTAGACAGTACTATTTTTCAATAACTAATTTTTTTTCTTGAATGTTTCATTTTTGGTTAATTAATAGATAATGGAGTTCTGTGATACAGAAGATGCTAATTATGACCAAAGTAGCATATAATTATCTTACTTTCATGGAGAAGGTTAACGTGTGTGTATTCATATCAGGAAAGTAGACAGATTTTGAATGACTTAGATAACCAAGAGTAGCGAGCTGCTGAGTGTATCTCACTGTAAATCCATCAGTGTGTCTTAGAGGTGGTAAGATCACAGTATTGTGCTGGCCAGAGGTCAGTGGAAGAACCGGTGCCTACCATGCATAAATCTCTGGCTCCCTCAACAAAACAAAGAAAAAATGCACACATTTAAAAATTAGTGCATATGACAGAGCACTCAGGCGTTATTCTAACAGGAGAAGGTAACACTGTCAGTGTGCACACTTGTACATCTGCAGCAGAGGAGAGAATAAGGAAACGTGTCTGGCATGCCTGCTCACACCTTTGGTCCCAGCAGCACTCAAGAGACAGAGGCAGATCTCTGTGAGTTTAAGGCTAGCCTGGTCTACAGAGCAAGTTCCAGGCCAGCCAGAGCTACTAAATATTCATTAGCAATAATTATGTGGGCTGTATGACTTTCTATTTTTCAGAACAAATACACAGCTATTTAGGTAACTTTTAGTAAATGTAAGTATTAAGGTGCTGTGTTTGTCAATAAAAGCACACACTTGAGAACTCCTGAAGCCCATGGACACTGGCTCAGTTGGAGCATTAAGAGTGGAATATGAGATTGTTCCTTATTCCTGCATACTACAGATGATGGAAGTGGAAGGAAATACAAGTTTCCATGAACTTTACAATAATTCTCATTTCATTTGTAGGTCAAATAACAGGATAGTAGACCTTTCTTACACAATGACTCTGGAGGACTATGGGCTAGTGAAAATGCGTGAGATCTTTGTATCGGAGTCATCTCAGGTAAATGCAGTTGTTACAGTTCTCAACCCAGGAGCTAAGGTGTTTCTGGGTGTGTCCCATACACTTCCTTTCACGTCGTAGGCTGTACCTGCTGTGGATCAGAAGCCATCGTCTCCTCCTCCAGCTCCTTGCCCTTCTGAGATCCAGGTGGAACCCCGAGAGACCTTAGAGTACAAGGCTGCACTCGAGCTAGAGATGTGGAAAGAGATGCAGGAAGACATATTTGAGAGTCAGGTAGGTTGAAATTGTACTCTAAAATCTCTGTTTTACCCACCTAGTTTATTTTTTCCTTCTCTACAACTAGGTTTTCTCTCCATGTTGTCTACAGTTTCTTTGACTATCAACAAAATCTTTTTGAGATTTACTTTTTACTCATGTGTATGCATATGTGTTGGTGTGGGTATGTGCACACGAGTGTGGAGCTGCCACGAAGCTGAGAAGAGCACTGGATCCCTGGAGTTGAAGTCGTGGTCCTGAGATGTCTGCTGTGGCTGCCAGGAACCAAAGTTGGGACTGCGATAAGAGCAGCCTGAGCTCTTGATGGCCAGCCCTCTCTCCATCGCCACAGAGCCCTCCTGAGAGAAAAGCAGAATTTTAAAACATAAAAATACTTGAGATATGGCAGTTTCATAGCTACTATTCAGTAGTATTTCCCTGAGTTTGACCATTATTGTTGGGAAAAATTAATGATGAGGTGGGTTTTGATTTTTGTTTTGCTTTGTGGTAAACTCTGTACTCTTGCCTAGCCTGAAACGTATTATGTAGATCTGGCTAGCCTCTGACTCAGATGTGCCTGTCTGTCTCCCAGGTGCAGGGATTAAAGGCTCGTACTGCCATGCTGGGCTTGTGTTTCTAATCTCAGGCCCTTATTCTCCTTATTCCCCGAGACTAAACATAAGCCTCAAGCTGCTGAGTTAGAGGCCAGAACTCACTACCAGCTCTGATGTTTGAGAATACTCATAAGGGATTATTTCACTCAAGAAAGTTCCTTTTTATGCTTAAATTTTTTAAAATTATATTTTGTGCTTTGGTGTGTATCTCCCCCCAACCCCCGAGTTGGTTCTCTACTACCATGTTAGTCCTGAGTAACAGTTTCAGGTCTTGGGCTTGACAGCAAGCACCTTCATGCTCTGAGTTCTGTCACTGACCCCTGGTTTTGAGTTTGGAGAGCATCTCACATAATCTAGGCTGACCTTACTAAGTAGGATGATTACTGTCAAGGATGACTTTTTAAGTGCTGGAATTATAGGTGTGTGCCGCTATATGTAGCCTAAGCTCTATTTTATTTGTCTGTCTGTCTGTCCATTTGTTTGTCCGTCTGTTATTTTAACAAATAAGATAGAGGGACTAGGTAGACTCACAGTTAAGAGCACCCGTGTGGCAATTCACAACCATCCATAACTCCAGTTCCTGGGGATCTGATGTTTTATAGCCCCCAAGGGTGCCAGGCACACACACATATAAACAGGCAAAACATTCTTACACATAGAATTTTAAAGTAAACTTAAAGGTTTTGGGGGTGGTAAGATGGCGTAGTGGTTTAGACATTGGCTGGTCTTTCGTAGGACCTGGAATAGCAACAAATAGAGGCTGTCCTACTTCGGGTTACTCTTGCTGTGATGAGATACCATGACCAGAGCAACTTGGGAAGAAAAGGGTTGAGTTGGCTTTCACTTCAATGTTCGTCATTGAAGGAAATCAGGGCAGGACTCAAACAGGACAGGAACATGTAGGCCGGAGCTGATGTAGAGGCCATGGAGGGGTGTTACGTACTGGCTTGCTCAGCACACTTTTTTATATAACTCGGGACTACTGGCCCAAGGGTGGCACAGTGGGCTGGGCCCTCCTATCACATCAGCCATTAATTACAAAAAGCCTTACAGGCTTGCCTACAGCCTCATCGTATGGAGGCATTTTCCTAATTGAGGTTCCTTTTCTCAGGTAACTTCAGCTTGTCTCAAATTGACTTAAAACTAGCCAGCATAGAGGCTCTGTAACTCCAGTCCCATGTGACCTGATGCCCTCTTCTGGCCTCTTTTGGGCACCAGGCAGAGAGAAACATGCAAATAGACCATCCATATACATACATGATATAAAAATAAAACAGAACACTTTAAAGATATTGGTAATCAGTAGTAGTTCCTAAACTAAAAAGGTTTTTTGCTGATTTGAAATATTTGTCATTTTTACATGACTATTTTTCTTTCTTTTACAGCTGAAGCAGAAAGAACTGGCTCACATGCAAGCTCTTGCAGAAGAATGGAAAAAAAGGGACAAGGAAAGAGAATCACTCGTGAAGAAAAAGGTAAAGCAAAAGCTTGTTTAAAAACTGAGAGAGAAAAGGAGAGAGTCTCTGTGGTTGTAGCTTCTTCCTGCACTACAGAGTTTGGAAGAAATAAACTTATTAGTTCTTGGCACAAACAGACAGACTTGAATATCTTATGCACTTTAAGCCAAAAAAAAAAGGACACTTTAAAGTCTCCATTCCTAAGAAATGTTCATTTAAATGGGCCTGCATGTATCTTAAGTATTGTTCTCATTTACTATTTGAGCTTTATTATAATAAGTAATGTGGACAGAACTCACATGTTGCATATTACTGATGTAAGGTTAATGTTCTGAAGTTTTTATTTTTATTTGAGACAAACTAAGTTCCTCCTTGGACCATTTCATTTCATGCTATTGTTCTTTAAAGTCAAATGATGAACTAATTTGAGAAATTTAATAAAATTGCTGCAATGAGACAGATCCAGCTGTGCTCTTGCCTTCCCAAAGAAGTTGTTTGAATATCATGAGGTTAAAAGTAAAAAAATTTAAAAACCCAACCATACCAAAGTAGCATGTAGCACAGTGGTAGGTGTGCGTACCTGGCACTCGTGTGGCCACATGTTTAGCCCTTAGCATCGCAAAGCACAAGACGGGAGGCTCTTCCCAAGTGAGCTTGGGTTTGCTCTTATTTAATAGGTTTAGATAGAGATTTTTTTAGCTAATATTTTTTATTGGTTTCCATGGATACTATCATTTCTAGCATCTGAGCTTGAATTTGAGCACATGACTACTTAGTAACTCTTCAGAAAACAGACTGTGAGGCTGGAGACATGGCTGTGTCAGAGCACCTACTTAGCAGGGACACAGCATCCTGGGATCCATCCCTTAACACCACAAATAAAGAAGGGAAATTGAAAATAAAAGCAAGTAGATTTTAATGCTGCCTTGCATTTACTCCTCACATTTGAAGGCAGATGTGGAGTTGCCATTTCTTCAATCCCAAGTACATTTTAAAACTGAAGATTTCATTTGTCTTGAAGTGTTTTATTTTGAAAGCATTTTGAAACCTGGGAAGTGCTAAGATACATGATTGGTCTTTAAAAATCCTTAACAAGCCACTGTAAAATCAAGTCAGTGGGGAGAAAGACAACTTTTCTTCAATAAGAGGTCCTTTAAAGCTAGTTTCTTTGAGAAGCTCACAATGGTATTTTTATGAACACAGTGTTTGAGCCCTTCCTGTCAATTTCTTATTTTCATTTGAAGATTTTTTTTTTAAACGATATATGACTTCTTTAATACTTAGGTAGTTTACCTGAATCAATATGTATACCTGGTTGCTGTTTTACATTCTGGAATAGCTGATAAAATTGTAGTCTGCCCTACACACAATTATCCATCATATAGCTAGCTATCTTTTGTAGCCCAAAGCAGGCTACATCAGCTGTATACATAGGGAATGTAAGGAAATACTTAATTGATAAGCTCAGGCCTGCATTTCTGGAATGGAGTAGCTACTGTCAGATAAGTCCTGAAGGCTTTCCAGAGAGAAAAGGCTCATTGAAGATGCTTGAAAACAGGTGCCACGTTTAATTATGGATGGTTTGTAAGAGGAAGAGACATCTCAGCACATCCTAGTTTATAGCATCCTTTCAGAAATAGGCCACTTGAAGACAAATGCTTAGTTTAAGAAGTGTGCTTAGGCGGGAAGGAAAAGTGTGGAAGAACTGCAGGACAGGTTGCTGAGGAGGTCTGGATGAGCAGGTCTTACAAGGAGGAGGGTATAGCCGAGCGGGGGCTTGCTCACCCGTGCTCATGTCCCAGAGGTGTCCAGTGTTGTCACCGTTAGCTCTTCAGCCGTCTAGATGGTAATGTACCATTTCAGGGAGGACAGTAGCTGCAGTTTCTGTGTTCTGAGGTTTGGATGACCCCAGTTGAGAAAGGGGATTTAGAAGACATTTAGATGATGACTTTATATACATACATGCATACATACATACATGCATACATGCATGCATGCATACATACATACGCTGTATGTAAAGAGGATTGTGAAGAAGAGGGAATGTGTTTATTAGAGCTGATGGGGTCCTTAGCCCTCCTTACAACCCCACTCCTTCCTCTACTCAGTTTACTTTCTGACTTCCAAGTAGTTGCTGTCACAGCTTTTCTCTTACTAGACAACTCCTGCTCATCCTGTCCTGGCCTGTGGAAGCCACTGGGCTTCCTTCTCTGTATGTCCCTCACACTCTACTGTCTTTACTTGTCTTGTTCCTGGTTTTCATGCCAAATCCGACATCTTGCTTAGTTGACTGGTTTGTCTCAGGGCCCCGTCCGTGGGTCCTCTTTGTTCTGTGTATCCTCACTTGTTTGGTGATCTCATCCTAGCTTGGCATTGTATGTATTGTATTGTATACATTATACGCACATGTGTGAACTACACCTTTTCTGCTTCCATCTCTGACTTCTTCCCTGGAATCTGCTTGGCCACTGAGCTGCCTGTGCTGCTGCCAGCTGACTGTCTGACGTGCACCTCAGGTCCCACATACCTGAAGCCAGTTTTCATCTCATTTTCTTTGGATTTGTTCCACTCGGTTCACATGTAAATAAATGACATTACCTTTTCCTTAGTTCAGACTATAAGCAAGTTCTCTTTAGTTCTCTTTTGTGCCTGGTGCATTAGTACATCCACTGGCTTTATAGTGAGCAAATGTTTTGGAAGGTAACCACTTTCCATCACATCCATCACCATTTCCTCTAAGCTACTTTGGTCTTGTTTCTAAGAGTGCAGGTTACGTTCTACTTAGCTTGTCTCATTCCTTCCTGGCCTTTTTACCTTGTCAGCCCATGTCATCAGCGGCACCTTAACGTTGTCTTCTATCTACCTCCTGACTTTTTATTTGTTCCCACCATGCTGGCTTCCTGGAATTCCTCACATGTGCTACGCCTCCCCCTTTCTAGGGATACGTGGAACACTTGTCTCTAGAGATACTTTTGTGGTCTGCTCAGAATAATCACAGTGAAGCCTTCTCTGATTGTCATATCCAAAGTAGTGTCCCCTTTTCTGTCATAGGCACCAAGTCTCCTCTGACTCTTGCTGTATTTTCTTCCTAACACTGACTAACACTAGATGTACACTTGTTTATTTGTAGCCCATCTTCCCCCAGAACACAGGTTCCACTTTTATTTTGCCCAGAATATGCTAGTGTATAATAAATAGTCACTAAAATAAAAGATACATGTTTAAAGAATAGACATATTCAACAGGCATTAAGTAGGTATGTATGTCTGAAAGTGCAGGGAGGTTAACCTCCTAATATAAATCCGGGATTCCCTGGTGGACTAGTCCCTGAGAGGTCACTGTAGGAGAGCAAGTATCCAGAACCAAGCATGGTGCAAACAGACATGGATATTTGGGTATTTTTGCATTATGATTTCGCTAAGTCGCACTTGCCACAGTTTATAAAAAAACAAAGCCAGATGTTGAGCTGGAAGATTGATTGGTGTGCTAGTCCTAAGAAAATCAAAATAGAGATGTCAGATTTTGCAATCAGGTTAAGAGTATGGATGGTGAGCACAGTCATGCTAGGTTTATAAACAGACTTCTGGATTTTTATTTTATTTTTTATTTTTTTGCCACCAGTATTGTGGCTAGAATTCTTAAGTAACAAGGGATCACAAACTGAGCCTGTAGATGTGGTTTGCCCTGGGCTTTGGCAGTGTATCTTCTGGTGTCTAAACTAGTAAGGCTGCATCTGGATATCATAGTTTTGAAAAGATTTAGTCCAGAACCTAAGTGTCTGTCTCCTAAATTAGATTCAAGTCACTGAAGAACATAGAAGTCGTAGTATGTAAAGTAGTTGCACTGTGTATTACTCTTGGAGAACAGAGGGACGGAAAGACTGTGGCAGCCTAAGATATTGTGAAGACAAATTTCTCTTGTCTTTACAGAACTAGATAAAAGGGTAGGTTTCTGAGAATTATCAAACCAGGTGTTCGTTCATTAGCCTTAGGAAAGGGGAGATCTGGATAGGGCCTAGGTCCTAGAGCCTGGGGATGGCGAAGGTAGCAATGGCTTTGGAAAGTCCCAGTGACACATGAGTTAATTGAGGAAATGGAGTGTCCTCCACCCTGAGTGTACGCTAAACTGGGAGCGGTTTATCCTGAATAGAGCTCTATTTGCAAAAACGACCTTGGGTTGGATATGATGGTATACACCTTTAATCCCAGCATTTGGGAGGAGTTCATGGCCAGCCTAGTCAACATAGTGAGTTCCAGGACAATCAGAGCTTCCAAGAGAGACTGTCTCTACAAAACCAAACCAAACCAAAATTCAGGTCATAGGCCTAAAGAAATAGGCTATTGGTACAGAAGCACAGGATTTCTCTAGCTCTTGACATCTCAGTAGGAGAATGGGCTTTCTTGGGAGACCCCAGTGCAAATGTCCATGCAAAAGCATGCTTGTCTTCCATTCTCGGAAGAATTTCTGCTTTGAGTTGGTACATGTTATGTTTCTTTCTTATTCTCAAATCCTGTTTCAGTGAAAGTGTGTGTTGTCTTGAACATGAAGATCATTTTTCTTTTTCTGTGTTTTAGGTAGCTGAATATAGTATTCTAGAAGGCAAACTTCAAAAAGCCCTAACGGAGCTGGAGACCCGAGAGCAGCAGCTTGCCAGTGCAGAAACAGAGGTATTGACGGCTCTTTGCCCTTCGATCCCTAGGCTGTGGAGTCCGTACCCTTTCATACTTGTCCTGTGCATTCTGTAATCTGCATTGCATGGAGACTGCATTTCAGACACGGAGACACTGCTGTGGGGTGTTCAGATGGTGGGGTGCAGCAGAAAAGCCAGTGCCTTTCAACCAGTTTTGCTCACTTCTCCAAGAGTGGTTTTGTTTTAACTTCCGAGTAAAGAGTGGTTATTTTCACTGCCTGGAGAAGAGAAACTGGGGTATGTTCAAGGCCATAAAAACCTGATTGGGCTTCAGAGAGAAAGAGTATCCCTTTATTCATTAAAGGTTTGATCCCATGTACCTATAATTCAGGAGGCAGAGTCAGGAGGATCATGAGTCTGGAGCCAGCCTGGGCTACCTAACTAGTTCCAAAGCAGCCTAACTACATAGCAGAAAAAAAAATAGAAAATATTGGAGTCCAAGACACATGTAAATTTATTGTAGCATTATACATAGTCAGCAGTACATTAGGTCTTAGCTAAACTGGACCTTAGGACTTTTCTATAAAATATAAATGTGTAATACACATAAACTTATGTGTTCCTTGTCTAACCATAATGTTTCTTAAGATGTCATCAGTAATTCTTATTCTGACCTTACCGCTGTTACATTTCTGGAGGTTTTTAGTGAATTAGGTATATTGACCTGTTTAAATCTTTCTCCTACATCAGTGGTTCTCAGCCTTTCTAATACTGCTTTAAAACAGTTTCTCATATGTGGTGACCCCCCCCAACCATAGTTTTTTGTTGCTACTTGATAACTGTAATTTTGCCACTGTTATGAATTATAATGTAAATATCTTTGTTTTCTGATAATCTTTGGTGACCCCTGTGAAAGGGTCATTTGACCGCCCCACCCACCAAAGAGGTCACACCCACAACTTGAGAACCGCTGCTCTAAATAGGCAGAAATTAGAAACTTCTAGTTGAGGAAGTAAACTCAGTCACATTTTTATATAATAAAAATAAAGGTTAAGTGTTTTTTTTTCTTTTTTAAGTATTTTTTTCAACTGAATTTATGTAAGTTGTGGTTGTGAGTAGATTTTTTTATAATAATTGTATATTGTAATTATAATTAGCATTGAGTGATTGAAATATACATAAACATTTAAGTCTAATAACTAAAGAAGACATGAAGCAAGTTTATACGTGTTCTATGTTTTATATGCATGTGTGCATGCATTTTGGCATGCACATGTGCTTGTGCACACATGCTGGTGGAGGCCAGAGGACATACTATCAACTATTTGAAACAAGGTCTCATTAGCTTAGAACTCATCAATCAGGCTGGGCTTGCTGTAGAGCTCCAGGATCTGCCTTTCTCCTTGGACCCACTAGCAGAAGAATAATGACATGAAGATTCATTGATTTTATTATAGCTTGGGCTACCTCCCAGCTAGCTCAACTAACTTAATTAACCCTACTATACTAGTCCATGTCCTGCCATGTGGCCCATTTCTCCTCTTTCTCCAGGTATATCCAGCTTCCTCTGGCCTCCATGTTCTGCTGGTGAATCCTCCTGCCTCTGATTCTTCTCCCAGAGACTCTCTCTTAGACTGGAAATCCCACCTTCCCTTTCTTGCCCAGCTATTGGCCATTAGCTCTTTATTGAACCAATCAGCGAGTGAGGAAGGTATGTTTACAAAATACTGAGGCAGTTGGTGAGCCATAAGAATAACAATACCAAAGTTGGCCAGTAGTCAGCTCTCTGCCAGTACAGAATTGACAATTGAATAATACAATGACAGGCTTCACATAGCGCACCCCAGCAAATGTGCTTTCATAGTGGGTGCTGGGAGTCACGTCTGGGTCAGTGTTCATATAAGACAACAATTTTTTTTTAAAGATTTATTTATTTTATGTATACGAGTACACTGTTGCTGTCCTCAGACACACACCAGAAGAGGGCATCAGATCACATTACAATTGGTTGTGAGCTACCATGTGATTGCTGGGAATTGAACTCAGGACCTCTGGAAGAGCAGTCAGTGCTCTTAACTGCTGAGCCATCTCTCCAGCCCATAAGACAACACTTTATGGACTGAACTGTCTCCCCAGCTCAGTGTGTACTATTTTGAACACTGACTGATCTAAGGCTGACCATGCTAGTGGTGATACGCTAGCCTCCTAACGGTGCTTTCCTTTTCAGCTTCAGAGAGAGAGAAAGGAACTGCAGTTAGAAAGGGAGCGGAACCTTCAAGAGCTGCAGGACTCTGTCCGAAGGGCCAGAGACGACTGCGTGTACCAAGTGGAGCTGGAGAGGCTGAAGCTGAGGCAGCTGGAAGAGGACAAACACCGGCTTCAGCAGCAGGTGGGAGAGCTCTGCTTCTAGAAATGCAGTGCTGTGAAGTGCTGACACCCACTGGTATTGGACCGTTGTACTCACTGCCCAGAGATTCTGACTAAAGTTAGATTTGCTTTTTAAGTTAAAGCCAAGGACTATGTTAGTATAATTTTCTTATCCTTGGAGCCATTTTTGTGAAACTGTACATAGTTTCAGGTAACTTAAAATGTAAGAGGTTTTTCTGTAAATCTCTTTTTAACAACATATACATTCATTAAGACATTAATGCCTTAAGTATCCTAAACCAATCCAGTGCTTTCTAGATCCTACATTTTGTAAGAAGAGTTCTGCCCTCCTCTTGTTCATCATGGCCCCTTTGTATGCCCATCCTGTACGCAGTTGTTAGAGTCCACCCATGGCTGGGTCACATGGGTGGAATGGGCATTTTCCTGTCTGTGTTTGCCGAGCTGGACACATAGAAGCACTGTTGTTGTTGGTGTTGCTTAAGCTCTGCTCCTGTTGCTGTCCTGCCTCCCTCCCCGCTCAGGCCTCCTGTGCTGCCTGCAGCCCTCTCTCCTTGTCTAGACATTAAGCTTTCAACTTGTTCCACTCTTCCATATTTACGTTCACTCCAGCCCTCCACCCCAGACTGCGGCTGTGTGGTCCTCACCGGGACATTTCTAAGGCACTACCCAGTATACTTACCTTGTTCATGCTTCAGCCCCAGCCTCTCCAGCCCCACTTGGCACACACAGTGTCATTTATGTCAGTCATGGGCCATCTGAGCTTATGTTGCAGCAAGGTAGCTTTGAAAATTGAGAAGCATAGCACACTTGAAAACCTACTACTGCTTATAGGGTAACGATCAGGATCACGAGCCTCACAGCCTGTGTGTGTGGTTTCTACCCATCTGTCTGATATATCCCCACTCTGTACCTCTGCTGTGTAGTAGAAAATTATTTAAATCCTGGCCTGGGATTTCTACACCACCTTTGACCTTTGGTTATTGAGTTTCTGGATAAAACCCCACACAAATAAGCCTTAATCAGCACACTAGCTGGGCTGCTGCCTCTCCTCCATGCTGTTAGAATCCACTTTCCTATCGATAGCCCCGAGTTATTACTTACTGTTTTCTGTGTTCCATCTGGGCTGCTCTTAACTCCAGTTGGGCAGCCCTCAGGGCCACACTTTTATGGCTCAGCTAAGCCATGGCAGCTTCTCCTTCTTCCATCAGCACACCCCGCTAGCTTTTCCCACAGGACCTCATTGTGTTCTGTTTTTCCATGGGCCCTGTGTATGTTATGAGTCCTTCTTTTACTTACAGTAAAATGTCACTTACCCCAAATAATATTTTCGAGCTTATGTTAAGTGTACTCCTGGAATATCGCTTTCTTGCTCTTTTTCTTTACAACGTGCTAGTTTTTATTTTCATTTAATGATCACTTAATCAGCCTCAGATTGTTGCTCCATAAAACCTTTTTTGTTTATAGTTCTGTCCTGGAGTCCGGCCTGGTGTCTCAGTGATAGGAAGGAACTCAGTAAATATTTGTAGAAAAGAGGAGGGAAAGATCAGGCTGTTAAAAATTCAACTTATCTTTCTTGAAAAATTGCAGTGTGTGGTAGATGTGTACGATGAATGCTTTGGGGCCTTCTGTCATGAATAGCTTCCATAGTAGCTCAAGGTTCTCTCAGCCACACTGTTTATATGGTTGTCACTGAGGGTCTTTTCCACGGTATAAAAGTGGGTGTTTGTCATGGGGTTCACCAGTAGTAGTGTTCTTCTATGTCATTCCAATTAGACTGATAGAAGAGACAGTTAAACACAAAGAGAACTGATGGAGATAAACTTGTTTGTAATTCATAGGAGAGTAGGCACCAGAACTCTAGGTCATGGCAGTGATGCTGGCCTTCCAAGGACCATCCTCTGTCCTAGCAGCTTTACCCCACAGCTGCATGGTAACAGCAGCGGTTGCTCATTATAATGTCCTTGAATGGTGAAGAACCAGATACACTTATTATTGGTATGTGTTTTGTTCAAATATAAAAGTGGAGACTAGGAATATGTCTTAGTCAGAGAAAGTGTATGCCAGGCAAGCGTTCGGACCTAAGTTAAGATCTCAAGCACCCACGTAAAAAGCTGGGCATGGTGATAATGCACTACAATCTCAGTGCTGGGAGGCAGAGACAGGAGGATCCCTCGGGCCTGCTGTCCTGCGCAGATAGTCAGTCTGAGAGCTCCAGGTTCAATAAAAGACCTCTTTCAGAATATAAGTTGGAAAATAGTTGAAAAAGATGCTGATGTCGACCTATGGCTTCCACACATGTGTGTATACACACACACACACACACACACAAACACATATAGACACATACATCATGCACATAAAACAAATGTATTTTTACAAGCAAGATCATTTCCAAAAGGTTTTTGCTGGTTTTGGAAACGTGAATTACGTGGAAACTTTTCATGTAGCGGGCAGCTTCTTCTAAAGATGCTGGTGCTGCATTAGGACCATCCAGGCAGCTTCCTAAGTGTGTTGCAGCCATCCCTGTGCTGGGTAAAGCTCATCAGTGTTGGTTTAAGTTGTACCTTAGCCACATAACTTGTCAGTGTTTCAGCTTAATTACGTGTGACATCTTTGAAAAAGAGCCTATAGGTTTGTCTAACTGACATCAGTGTATGTTTTCAGAAGTCATCCTCAACAATTGTCCTTTGCATTTTAATCTACATTTGAAAAGATCTTATAAAGTATTATATACTTTTGTTTATTTGCCCTTTAAGACATCCAGTAGCTCAGGATAGCCCAGAACTCATTGTGTTCCTCAAGCTTACCTTCAACATAGGGCTGTCTTCCTGGTTGGCCTCTCAAGCATTAGGGTTACAAATGTTACATAGATTACATAGCCACCATCCTTAGCCAAAATGAATGTCTTTCTGCCCTCAGTTACAATGCTTAATTAAGGCCACCCACTACCTGTCTGTCCCTCTCCCCCTTCCTTGCATGCCCCAATAACTTACCAAGTATTGGGAGCTGTGATGAGAGCCAGTTCTGTAGGATGAAAAGCCTCTGCCCCCCTAGTTAGTCTCTGGTGTCTTTGGCATTCCTTCAGGCGTTAAGCCCTTCAATCTTTATTTTTTTACCTAGTTTAAAAACAGAAAAAGCTCTCTGTTAATTAGTTAATTTGCTGTATTCTTAAGTACTGACCATTTTATTTTTTCCAAATGTTCTACCATAACATGTTTTAGACGAATAATGACACTATTAAATCAGATTGTGCAGTATCAAGATTTGTTTGTAATGGTTATAATATACTTTCTCTTTAAATACAGCTTATTGATGCTGAAAATAAGTATAAGATTTTGGAAAAAGAGTTTCAGCAGTTCAAGGATCAACAAAACAACAAACCAGAAATGAGGCTGCAGTCAGAAATAAACCTCCTCACCTTGGAAAAGGTAACTGTATCAGCTTCTGTCAGTGTAACTAGCTCTAGTGATCAACTTATAAAGTCACTAATCAATACGTGTGCACACGACTCTGTTCTAATACAGCACAGCAGAGAAGGCAAGGTGTGTGACATTGGTTGTATTTGAGTTGGTTGTGTGCTATCAGTAACAGCTTGCATAAATAGAACTGTGAACAGAAGTGACGACTGTAGGAAGGGAGGAATCAAACCGTGTCAGAAGGTGAAAGACCCAGACCAAGAATCTGAGTAGGAACGTGTAGACGCAGGGGCACGGCAAGTGTTTGTTCCAGTTTGCCCAGGGTAACCCTGCTGCTAGCGCCATATCTGGGACCTCAGATTCTCTGATTTAGTGGTGAACTTTCAGTGTTGAGGTGGTCACTGTGACTGCTCTATTTCTGTGCTTTCTGGATTCTGTGTCCTGCACAGGAACATTCAGGGCAGAGACCCATATTCCCTAGCCTTTAGTTTAGAGAAGGAATATTCACTCTACTCCGTTTTCTGTGTTTAAAATTCAGTCATGGCTGCCATTTATGTTGGAATTCCTCCACAGCCAAGATGTGCAGTAAGGCATTACAAAGCATAAATGTGGGATACCAAGATGATACAGTGGGAAAAGGTATCTGCTGCTCAGCCTGACAACCTGAATCTGTGCTCCAGTAAAGAGAAATGACTCACTCCTGCAAGTTTTGCTTTGGCTTCACATGTGCGTTCTGGTACTCACATGCACATACACACACTATTTTATAAGATTTATCTTACTATTTTTATTTATATGTGTGTGGGAGTGTATGGCATGAATGTGAGGTCCCACAGAAGTCAGGGCATCTGCTTCTAGAGCTGGAGTTAGGTGCTAGGATCTGAATTTAGGTCCTCTGGAAGAGCCACAAATGCTCTTAACTATTGAACCATGTCTCCAGCCCCATAAAATACTGGTTCAAAAGTATGACTATCTAACAGCCATCCAGAGGTGGCCATTTGCACTGAGGTCTGAGGGGAAGATGCAGCAGTGTAGAGCACTGTGAGAAGTGTCCAGGGAGCTCCTGCAGACACCGAGAGATGCCCGCCTAGAGAGTGATGTGGACCGGGGAGATTGTAAAGCCTCGGCAAGGGAGGTAGGGGTTTCTAAGTTGTGCATGTGGCAGTTACCATCTGGAACACACAGCCATGTGACGTCTGTCTCTTCCTAACTCAGCCACTTCCTCTGTCACAGTGGACAGCTTCTTCACTTCTATTTATTTCATGTCTTTTAAACAGGATTAATAAAATGGACAAAATACTTAGCATAGAACCTGGGACATTATCTGCATTTAAATACCAGGAGTGTACTGAGAAAAATTGTTCTGTGACTGTCTCTATCTTAGAACTAAAGCTTGCTTCTAGCATTCCAGTTTTGAGTGTAAGCTCAAAACTTTTAGTTAGGTTTTTTTTTTTTTTTTTAATTATTCCCTGTAAGTCTTTTTGGAACCAGGAGAGGGCAGAGTCTTACTCTGAAATAGTGACTGATAAAAAGCATAGTGAATGAAATGCTGGGCAGTGAAGCTAGCGGGGCCGTCTGCAGTGGCTCTCCTGGCTTCCAGTGTCTGCATGCAGAAGAGCTCTTTCCTTTCCTTCCTCCCTCCCTCCCTCCCTCCCTCCCTCCCTCCCTCCCTCCCTCTCTTCCTTCTTTCCTTTCTTTTTAAATACAGAGACACTGTTGTAGCCATGGCTAGCATTGCGCTCTGAGATCTGAGTGCTGGGATTAAAGCTGTGTGACGGCACGGCTGCCCATCTATTAATATAGCATGTCCATTTTCATCTAAAGAGTCTAAATTAACACTAAGAGACAGTTTTACAGAATCTTAATTCCTTTTACCTTTTATTATTGCAAAAGTAAATAGTTTATGAGTTTTTAAATTTTTATTTTGTGTGTGTGTGTGTGCGTGTGTGCCTGTGTCTGTGTCTGTGTGTGTGTGTGTGTGTGTGTGTGAGAGAGAGAGAGAGAGACAGACAGACAGACAGACAGACAGACAGAGACAGAGAGCGCGCAGGCCCTTGAATGCCATGGTGGTGCAGGAGTGTTAGAGGACAGCTTCAGCATGTCAGCTTCCTCCCTCCCCTGGGTCTCCAGGGTGCTGGTCTCAATGCTATCAGTTCTGTGCCGCCCACGCCCTGCCCTCTGAGCCGTCTCATGGCACCCACACCCTAACCCCATTTTTTCACTTTTTTTGAAACCAGGTCTTACCTTGCAAGATGGTCTAGCACACACTCTGTGGCTTAGGCTGGCCCCAAACTTTCAGTGGCCATCCTGGTTGCTGAGTTATATTTTGTGAGCCATTGCACCCAGCTTTCTGAGTTTTCTTTCATCTAGAAAATATTCTTTACATAGTTTGTAAATTATTAGAGCTTTAAAAACTTTACATATGGAAAGCATATGTTTTAATGGGGCATATAGAGCTTGAAAATTTAAGGTGTTATAAAGTGTCAACATTTTTTTTAAAGATTTTTTTTCATTTATTTTATGCATGAGTACACTGTCACCCTCTTCAGACACACCAGAAGAGGGCATTGGATTCCACTACAGATGATTGTGAGCCAGCATGTGGTTGCTGGGAATTGAACTCAGAACCTCCTTAAGAACAGTCAGTACTCTTAACCACTGAGCCCTCTCTCCAGTCCCCAAGTGTCAACATTTTAATCATGCTAAAAGTTGCACAGTATTGAATAATATTTTGGTATCTAGTGTGTTACCACTCTTAGAAAAATAAGAGAAATAGGAAAAGAGAAAGCGAAAGTATTTATTATTCTCAGGGTACTGTAAACACTGTTGCATAGTTTCAGAGATGACCTCAAGGAGTAAATGACCATCACTAACCAATCCAAAGGAAACCATTTGGTGTTTCATATTGTAGCAGATTCAAGACAGCCTCAGATAGAGATGAAATCTAAGGCGAGCTTTAAGATTTAGGCAAGCAGAAGAAAAGAAAGAGCCCAGGCAGGTGGGTGAGGAGAGTTGTGGGGCAGATGGCTGGGCAGTAGAATTTCTTGTTGAAGAATCCTGAGGAAGGTTGAGCAAAAAGTACAGAGATTGTGTTTTGGATCCTAGGCAAATAGCTGTAGTAGATTTTTCAGTAGAGAGTTTTGGTTGCAGTTTATAGAACTTACAGACATACTTACAACTGGATGCAAGAGACACTTTTATAGTTGAGGTAAGAAGAGAGAAGCTGAGCTGCATATGTGGGATAAGAGTAGAAAAGGGGATCTGAGAATGACAAGGGTAGTTCCTTGTCATAGGTAGGTTAGACCTGGGAATGGACTCAAGACAAAAATGAACACTGTGTCTTTGGTAGGGGAATGGGAAGTTTGTCTTCTGCACTCAGAGTTGACTTAGGTCTTGAGTGATCTGTCTCCTTTCAGGGATATTCCTCTTAGCTATGGTATGTGACTTCAGTCACGGAACAATGAAACCCTAAATAAAATTACAAGTACAGGTTTATAGCTGTACTGCAAGCACTGTTGATGTAGGAGGTCAAGAGTCAAGGTCAGTTTCAAAACAGCAAAATTCTGAAAAAAAGTTCTGATACTATATTAACAATTTGGAAATCTTCTATAAGAATGTGTGTCCTATAAATGAGAAGGAAGTATCCTCCCCCCCCCCATACACATACCTCAAGGATATGGCTGCCTGAACAAAACCTAAACAAAGACAGTGTAAATAGTCATGCTAACTTAGAAGGGGAAATCTCACTGAGTCCTACCCATAGACAAAGGACTAAAGGCACCCGAAGACTGCTGAGAAAGAGAGAGATAGCTTCTCCCAGGGACGAGCCCCAAAATTACTTATCTAATACAAAATGGTCAGCTTCGGAAACTGTATAATTACAGCAACAGTAAATGGGATTCAGTTGGTTGTTTTACATATTTATGTGCGTGCGTGCGTGCGTGCGTGCGTGCATGCATGCATGGGTGTGTATTTAACAGTAGTAAAGAAAAGAGGTCATGAATTTGAGTCAAGGAGGCCTTGGGAGAAGATAGAGGGAGGAAAGAGAGCAGAGAAGTGTTGTAATTATATTTTAGGTTTTTAAAGTTTTAGTAATTAATAAAAATAATTAAGTTAAATAAAACCAAAAGAAATTTTAGTTACATGTATTATTCTAGGAATTGGGTCCATGTAATTCTTTAGAATCTCAAGCATCATATTCTAAAATAAAAATTAGGGATTTTTGATAGTAATAAATTTGTACTTCAGATTTGCAAGTTTTTAGGAATTAAATGTGCAGAATGATGTTTTAAATTAGTGTGTATAACTATGAAAGAATGAATTACTTTTATATTTATGCCAGACTAGTAGAACTGCCTTAACAGTGCAGATCTGTTAGGCCTCATCCTTGATCTGGTCTCAGATGCAGACCTTGTCCAGGACCCATATGCATGCTCTCAAAGACTGTCTCCACTCTTCTGAAGTATGGCTTGTTGTTAAATTACCAAGTGATGTGTATGAATCACTGGGCACAAGTGGAGGGATTATCTCCAATAATCTCAGCAATATCATTCAACTCAAGATGCTTGAGACTGGTTGTGAAATGTCAGCACATCTGAGTCCTAGCCCTGGGATTTGTGAGCAGGAAGACCTCGACTCCAAGTGTCATATATAACTGCAGAAACTTCTGGCCTTTGTGACGGGGACTTGGCAGTCTGCTTTTCCTGTCATTTTATTTTGCTCTGAGTTTTCTAACATTTGAATTTTTTAGAGTCTTCGTCTTTTGTTTTTCTGTAAAACATTTGGAGTTTTATGTATGGGAAAAAACTAAACTTGATATTAAAAAAATCAGCTAGTTCAGAGTGACAATGTTTTGCTGTAATTCAAGCAGATTATTACATTATCACTTAACAGTAAAGCTGTCTTCTGGCTGCATGGGTTTGTTTGGTACATGGTTTGAAGCACAGAGTGAGTGCATTCCAGAACATAGCCAACTTGGCTTTAGTTCAGGCCCAACAGATTGCCTGCTGCAAGCATAAATAACCAGATTTTTAATTGAATCACTTTAATGTTTTTCTTTATATATTTCAGGAAAGATAGAAAATAAAAGTGAGATGTGTGTTATTAAGGAACGTTATTTTTCTTCTTCTTGGGTTTATTTTAACATTCTTAAAATATTTTTTCATTTTTGACTTTGCACCTCTTAGTAAATTGCTTTTTGATAAAACACTGCACTGTTTCCAGTGTTCTGTGGTTTTGCCAAAAATTATGAAAGTATCTCTCCAGCTCTCCTTATTACAGGACAGAATTCCACCCAATGATAGGCCTTCCCCAGGAAAGTCCGCCTGCTGAGATTGGAGGGCCAGCTGAAGCGGAATGTTAACGGTTAGAGCTGCTTTTTGTTAAAAATGAATGTATTTTTCACTCTGTGGAATATACACGTTTAAATACATTTATAGTAACTGTCTGGAGGTTAAGACTAATTCAGTTCTTTTTAGTCTAGCCTGCAAGGCAATAAAAATAATACTATATTTTAAACAAGAAAATGTTCATGTGCCATAATATTTATAGTAAATTATATAACAGCTTTAGACGATGTCATATGTCACGCTGTATAAACTCTTTTCTTAAGCCCGACTCTTTGTATATATTATCTTTCAGTGATTGCACACAGTGGTATAGTGTTTCACTTGATACGATTTTAATCACTGCTAGGTTGAGCTTGAAAGAAAGTTGGAATCTGCAACCAAATCTAAACTGCATTACAAGCAGCAGTGGGGCCGAGCTTTGAAAGAACTTGCCAGACTCAAGCAGGTATGTGGTTGAGAGAAAACTGTCTTCCCTTCGCAGCTTTGTAAGTTTCATGTTTGATACTCCTGTGTTAGAAATCTGCATTGGCATTTCCAGTGCTGTGTGCTAAGATCAGAGGCTTAAGGTTTATTTTTTAATGTGTTTTGTTTAATTTGTTCAGTATGACTTAGGGATGGTGTCCGAAGGGCAGGCAGTGTTTCCGATGGACCTCTGGAGTCATTAGACTATTAATAGCAAATCTGGATGTGACATAGCAAACATAGTCACAGCTGTGGTTATTGCAAAGAATCATGAAGTGAGGAAGCATAATCTCTTTTTAGGTACAGGAGGCTGCATTTTAAAGGTTGTTTCCAGAACAGAGCCTGGAACTGTAGCAATAGAAACGAAACATGATTCTTGTAAAGATGATGCCAAGGGCTCAGCCAGAGATTCTGGGAAGGCGGTCCAGCTTGAGGGATACAATGTAAGAAGCTAACGGAGCCAAGAGTGCAGTGCACACCTGTAATCCCAACATTCTGGAGGTTGAGGCAGGAAGGTCGCAATGAGTTTGAGGTCAGTCTGGATTACCTAGTAAATTCCAGGCCAGCCAGGATTTCATAACAAGACCCTCTCTTAACTGGAGCAGAGGAAGGAGATGAGATTAGCAAATGTGAGTGGGCATTTTAGGTTTTAGATTTAGAAATGTGCATCTTTTTGGAATCTGATTGACCTCAAGTGATGGAGTCCTTGGCAAAGGAGCGATCTGAAGCTGTGTAGGATAGAGCTTGGAGTTCTGATGCTTGAGGTGAGTAGCATATACTAGAGAAGGATTTCAGTGATGATGCTATAGTGGGGAATTCTAAAATCCCTAGATAGCAGATGAAGAAATGGACTGACTATTGTCATGTGTGCTCACAGAGACACCAAGTGATAGGACTCAGACTGAAGTGTGAGCAAGCTCTTCCTGTTGCAGTTTCAGTGCCTAGATGACAAGACTTTCCCACAACAGCCCTGGAGCAGAAGTGAGGAGTTGGCATGGCCTAGTAGAAAACATGGTGTCATTGCCTACTAGCAAGAGCAGCGCTGAGGAGAACTGACTGTCTTTGAGGAAGAAACAGCTAGACTTTATAAAGTCATAATGCTAAGATACAATGGTTTCATACAGAAGCGTTGAGGGGACTTGTGGAACGCGGAGCCAGGAGAGTGGGGAGAGAAGTAGATAATAGCATGCTTTTTCTGAAAAGACCTCTCCCTGAGCTGCCCAGACTGGTTTTGAATTTACAGTGTTCCTGCCTCAGTCTTCCAAGTAGCTGAGATTGTAGCATGAGCCACTGCATCTGGCCGAGGTAGGTTTTAAAAGTAAGAAAAAGTGGAGGCAGAAGCTCAAGGATCCAAGGTTTCCCTTGACTCTGTGGCTAGTACAAGGTCAGCCTAGACCAAGAGAGACCCTGTCTTAGAAGGAAAGGCTGTGTTGTGTGTCTTGGAGGTGGTAACGTGCTTGCGAAGCAACATGGCAGCCTGAACTTGAACACCAGTACCTGTCTAAAATAGACCAGGTGCTGCTGCGGGCCGGCTGTCATCCTGCACTGTAGAAGCTCTTACAGAAGGCTCTTGGTGCTTCCTGAACAGCTAGTCTATCCAAGTTGGCAAGCTCAGGTTCCTTTGAGACTCTGTCCCAAAGAAATAGGGTGGAGAAGATTGAGGAAGGCACTGGTGTTAACTCCTGGTCTCACTGGCATGCATGCGGGAAAACACTGAAGGAACAAAGCGAAGCCAAGGAAGGGATTATGAAATCAGTCCCCCCACCCTAAAACTTCTCTTTGCTAATTCTCCTTCCTCACATCTCGGTGTCCTGTGGATCTTCTCATTTACCCTATTTCCTATTTCTTCTTCTTTTCTGTACGTTTTTACCCTCTGGCTCAAAAAAAAAAAAGTAATATTTATTATTTGTTCTAATAAGAGAGGGTATCACTTTCAGATTTTTTCTTTCTCTTGAATTGCTATAAATTTATAAAGGAAAGAAACTGTTGAATTAATACATCTCTAAAACTTACAGTCCATTAAAGAAACTGAGAGCAACAGGACTGAGGTGATGGCACATTGGGTGACCATACTCACGCTGCATGTGAGGACCGGAGTTCACATCCTGTGTGGCCATGTGTGCCAGGAACCCCAGCTTTGGAAGAAGGAGATAAGTCCATCCTCGGCTCTTGGTGGCCAGCAAGCCTAGCCCAAACAGCTAGCTCTGCTAGTTCAGCAACATAGTAATATGGAAAGAACTTACTTCCCAGTGTCCTGCTCTACTCTCCTCATGTGCATGCATAGACATGGGTGTCATCTCACATGTGTGCGGCACACACATGCACACACACTAAATATTAATTTAAAACTAGCAGTCTGAATGAAGGCAGTGTGTTTTTAGTTCTTTCTTGCTTTGGACTAATTTTATCCTTTATCCTGTAAACTTTCTGCTTTAGAAACATTATAAACAAGTTTTGAGGTCACTAAGAACCTTTGATGTTTTGCATGCCATCCTGAGATGTGGTAATTTAAGAAGAGCAATAGCCTTTGGGGTCTTCATAGTGAATTATGCTATGCCACTAACAGTTTTTAGAAATTAAAATTAATAACTTCATCAAATTGGCACATTTCACATGTGTGAAAATTACTTTAAAATTTTCCCCTTAAACTCTTTATTAAAAACACATTTATTTTGTGTTTGAAAATAAAATTGGAAGTGTCTCTCTGCTTTTGTTCAGAGAATTGTTTGTGCAACTTTTTGTTTAAATTGGATTAGTACCATGTTAATTTTACATTGCCTCTGGTGAATAGCCACGAGGCTATAATCTCTGCCAGTAATTTGTCACATTGAATCCCTCTGGAGGGCCATAGAAAACATTTGTGTAGTGCGGATTAGACGGCGAAAGCCGTATCTTAGATTGTTAATAAATGTTAATGACAAAACCCAGCTGGTACGGCTTGGACATAAGATCTAATGCTTGGTGCCCATTGCCAGAACAATGTTTAAAGAGGGCTTTCCATTACTCAGAGGCAGCCTAGTATAGTCAATTTGTGAATTAAAAAATTGTAGCCTTCTGATAGTTTTAAAGAAAACTTTCCTTTTCATTCTCAGCCTCAACTCAACTTGTAAATTTTCTAAAGTTTTTTAATAACTGATGGCAACAACTGAAATCAATAAATAAATAAATAAATAAATGACATGAAATGAGCCCCAATTTAGAAAACAAGGAAACAATACTCTTACATTTTGAGTTTAAAATCTTGGGATATTTAAATCACTTGTTTGATATGCAGGGGCAAATTTAGTTTCCTTTTTCCTCTTTGTAAGAATATGCTGTAGAAATATTTTTAAATGGTACCTAAATAAATGCTTGAATGATAACAAATATCTAAGATTGTCTGCACTGGCTCTTCATGTTCTAAATGAGAACGTTAACCAAAGCCCCTTCTAGAATGTAGATCTGCAAGCAGAATAAAAGCTGCATTGTTTAAAAATAAATGAATCCTGCTATAAAGCATGAATTAGTCATAAAAATTTAACATTTTCACTATGTTACATACTTTGAAACTCTGTATATTTGTTCTCAGGACAGGAAACAGAACTAAGACTTTATTTAGTAGCGTGTGGTTCCCTTACCATATTTGTGCACAGTAGATGTGTTTAAAACTAAGCCAATATATTTAGCTAAAGCTCCACAGACTTCATCGGCTGACATCAGCACTATCTTGTCCAGCCTCCTGCTTATCCACTCAGAGTAATTAATTTGATTAATTTATAAGTAATTTAGCCAAGGATGGGGATGTAAATCTTAGTTTAAGAAAACAGTTGGAGGTCCAAGTCTTAGTTAAAAACTGTGTCTTGAAACCATCCAGGCCCTCCTACTGGCTTGTCAGCTCTGGGTTATTTTCAGAAAACTGGACTTGAGTTCCTTCCTTTAGCTCTGCGTTTTTCCCACAGACTTGGATGGTATGTGTGAGTGGGAGAGTAAGTAGTGGCCACTTTGTAGCAGCTGTTTAGTCTACTGTATGCATGTTTACATCTCCTTTCTGGATTTATAGGCAGCCAGGGCAAAATAAAGATTATACTCACTTGATTGAGGAGCCTTTAACCCAGGGCACCTGGCCGTGGAAAGCAAGCGTTTGCCCTGGCCCTTGTTTCTGCATGCATATGTAATTACTAACAGTATGGCATACTTGCTTTAAAATTCAAGGCATTTAAAAGATTTCTCTGGTATGCTTTAGAATAAAAGTGTGTCAAGTTTGGGGAGGTGTTAAGTTCATTTTATAAAGTAGCCTAAAGTAAATAATTTCTGTTTTTTTCTCTTGTAGTCATACTTTTTCTCATTACTTAAAAACAATGCAAATAGTTCCAGTTGTTGTGGTACACATTTGTAACCCCAGCGTTCAGGAGTTAGAAGCGAAAGGATCAGTTACCACAAGTGCCAGACTAGACAGGACTTCACAGTAAGAACATTGGCTCAAAAAACTGTAGATGTAGCATGGTGTAATATAAAAGTAATAACAATTAATCTTACCTCCTTCACAAATAGAGATGATCATTTACTATACTCTTGCTTAGATATTTTTCTTTTCTTAAAAATAACTTGCCTAAAGAATGCATTTATGGAAAGGTATGCACAACCATGCGTGCACCCATGAAGGCCCATGCAAAGGTCACAGAAACTTCTTGGTTGTTCTCTAGTGCAGCAGGGCCTCTCAGTGAACTTGGCGCTGCTCACCAGCTGGCTAGCCTGTCTCCAACCTCCCAGTACTGTGGTACCGTGGTATAGATGCACACCACCATTAGTCCCTGACATTTACCGTAGGCCATGGGAATGCCAGTGCACTTCCTTTAGGCTTATGCAGAAGCACTTTACACACCAGGCTTCTCTTCAACCCGTTATCTTTAAACTGTACCTTCTTGCTTTCTACTAAATACCATTATCCTTAGTCTTTTCTTTGTAATTTCAGCACATAAGATGTTTTAAAACTATACCCAGGAA